TAGAAGCCTTCCGACCTTTTGTAGAAGGTTATGAGTTTGACCTGATCACTGACCATAGTGCCCTACAATGGCTGCGCCGATTGAAGAGTCCTACTGGTCGTCTAGCAAGATGGGCAGTCCAGCTTCAACAACATCGAATGAAGATCATCCATCGAAAAGGAGCAGAAATGAAGGCACCAGACGCTCTCAGTAGAAACCCCGAGGACCTTCCAGAAGAAACTGTAGAAGTTGATCTGATGGATTTGCCTGCTGAAATTAAGGACAATTGGTACAATGAATCAATCAAGAAAGTAACTGATGACCCTGATTCATATGAGAAGTTCAAGATTCAAGATGGGAAGCTAATCAAACTTATCACCGTTCAATCCAACTTACCATTGAAGTGGATCCAAGTGTTGCCTGCTGAAGCCCGTGAAGAAGCACTCAAGTTAGCTCATGACGAACCGACAAGTGGTCATGGCGCCTGGCGACGCACCTTCCATCGTCTCCGTTCTCACGCCTACTGGCCGAACATGACCACTGACGTGAAGAAATACTGTGCCAGTTGCAGCATTTGTCAACAATCCAAGACCGACAGAAGAAAGCCACCCGGCCTGATGGGCTCTGGTGACGTCGTCAGCCAGCCAATGGAATTAATTTCTGCAGACTTGATTGGCCCTCTTCTACGTTCTTCAAAAGGGTACACCTTTATTTCTGTCGTCACTGACTCCTTTTCGAAGAACGTCTTCATCCGTCCTCTTCGAAAAGCCACTGCCAATGCTGTCACCAATCACCTGAAAGAAGAAGTCATTTTGAAGCATGGAGCTCCACGTCTTCTCCTTGTAGACAACGGACAGCAGTATAGGAGTCACCAATTCCAAAATCTCTGTAAGAAGCATCACATTGGAATACGCTTCAATTGTGCCTACAATCCAAGAAAAACCCGACTGAGCGCACTAACCAAACTCTTGAAACAATGATCATATCATATGTACAAGAAGATCACCGTGGATGGGATACTTACTTACCAGAACTTCAAACAGCGCTGAATACTTCAGTCAGTCATGTGACCGGCTATACCCCTCACCAGGTAATCTTCCGCGACGATCTTATCCTTGATGGGCGAGAGAGAGTCTTCAATGGAAATCCTGATGATCCTGTAATACTTGATCCTGTTGATGATAATCTGCAATCAGAGAAGGATAAAATGTTTGAAGAGATTAAGATGAAGATAGTAGAAGCAAAGGCTAGGAATGCCGCAAGATACAACTTGCGACGTCGATCTCATGAAGAATTCAGCACCGACCATATGGTGTGGCGAAAAAACTTCATCAAGTCCGACAAAGCAAGAGCTATCAGCAAGAAACTGGCGAAGAAGTGGATAGGACCTTTTAAGGTGAAAGCAAAAGTAGGAAGGGTTTCTTACTTACTTGAAGATGAAAACCACAAACTCGACGGGCCCTGGCACGTCGATCAACTGAAGAAGTTCGTGGCGTAAAAAATAATTCAGATGAATGATTTTTTTGGTGAAGTCGGGGGAGCTGTCACGGCCTGTGACATCCGCGCCGGACAAATAGGCAACCCACCTGCCCGCCTCCCGTCGCGTCACTCCACCCAGCGCCCGGCCTCCGCGCCAGCGACATCAGCGCAAGCGTGCGAGCGGTGGCCGGCGCGAGAAACAAGAGTCAGTCGTGCCCAGGCAGAGCAGCCGGACGGTCGCGCTCTCGCTACGCGCGCCGCCTCTCGCCGCTACATTTTCCAGCAAGTTAAACGTCTGTGATTCTGCTGCTCCGTGCCATTTTCGCCATGGTTTCACCTCTGCCCGCAAGGTGTGTGTCGGCGTCGGCGGTTTTCAAGGTATTTTCTCTCCAACAACACCAAATTAACCTGTGTTGTTGCGCCACAGGGCCACGTGTTCCGGGCGGCTAGCCAGCGCCATGATGGGCTAGGCTCTCCTCTGCGCCCTTGTCCTCCTGAGACCGCCGCCGACGCCACCAACATGAACTTCATCACCTCATCATCCTCGTCAACATCACCGCCACCAGCACGGCCACGCCGACGACCCGGGTGGGCTGCTGCCCTCCCCAGCCTCCTTCCATCCGGCCGACCTATGACGTCATGTCCGGGCCGTACCTGGCAAGAGTTCAGACCAGCTGAGTGTGTGTGTGTGTTGTGCCAGTGCTTTGCACAAATTCTACGTACTCTGTGAGACGTATGCGCCGTGTACGTCCGTTATGTGACGTCTCAGTGCAAGAATATTTCCTCGTTTCCGGTGGGAGGCGCCGCCCCCGGAACGATTCTTGTTCTTCTTCCTGCCCGGGTTGATGTCTGCTGTTTGTCAACCCGGTACCGGTGAGTGCACTCTCTCTTAAATCCTTGGGCCAAGGGTACTTGTTGTTCCTCTGTACAATGTATGTACTCGAATGACTTGTCATTGTAGACAGAAAATGTGCTTTTCTGTCTGTTTCCGGTTTACCGGTGTACTCTGTTTATAGAGTTTGTTTTGTGATTCTCTTGGGAATGTTCCCTAAATACAATTGTTTACCCTTGTGTATGGGTTAAATTACTATAATTAGTGTTCACTATAAGGTACTCCGGGGCTCGGCTAGAACGGAAGGAGAAGAACAAAAATCGTCGGGCCGGTCGGGCGCGGGGCAGGGTGGGGGCAGTACCCCGCT